TATATATATATTTTATCTGTGTAAATGGAGCTTTGGGAAACTCTGATCAGTTTTGTCTATTTTTGTAGGAATGACCTATTGGCACACCTGAGGAATTATAATCTTTATTATGAAGGACAGAACCTTCAGCTGAGGCATCGAGAGGTAAAGTAATAAGATGTAATGTCTACTGTTACATCTGAGAACATTATCATTACAGGCCATTAATAATAAAGTGCCAACGTATTAAACAGCACCATACATATACTTATGTCAATTACACTTTGAGCCCAGTGCACTAATATAGCTGGTTGAGTACAGATGCGAATTGTCGCATCCAGTAGATAAGAGGAAACACTTCCTCCTGTCTGATCATCCTTCACCCACATTCCTCCTCTCTGGCAGACATAGTGACTGTACCTAGGCACAATAGTTTGGAACTCAATAACTACTTCTTCATATTAAAACATTAAGTAATTTCTACAAATGTAATTATTGTTATATACTTTGACCTGTCAGGAATTTATTCATGGAAGCTTTTTTGGTGATGGTCTCATCTATGTCCTTTTATAAAGTGGACCCTTTACAGGAAACCAATAGGGACATCCCTGTCCTAAGCTAAAATTCTTACTAACATCATTGGGTCTTTTATTAGGGTCTGTTGGCAAATTTTCTAACATCCGTAGCAGTGAATTCAGTAAGAATGGAAAACTCAGTGATTAAATTAAATGAATAGTTCATTGAAGGCAAACTGCCGTTCCAGATCAGAAGGCATGGACCGAGGCAGGTCTACCATTATCCATTGTAAAGTTCTGCCTATGTACACTATTCTTAGGAAATATTTCTATTTTATATAAAGATTGTCTGCCCGCTCATCACAGGAAGAAGATGAGCTGATTGTGGAAGGACTGCTGAATATTTTCTGGGGTTTAAGACGGCCCATCAGGCTTCAGATGCAAGATGACAATGAAAGAATACGCCCGCCTCCATCTTCTACATCCTGGCATTCTGGGTGCAACCTCCTCACTCAGGGGTAAGGTTTCGGAGCTGCTCTTATCTCATACGTCATCTGTCATATTATTTCTCTGGTAGTACACTCTGCATTGAGCTAGCTTGTTTGAGCAAGCCATTAACAGTTTAAATGCGATCACTGAGGTCACTCTGAGCAAAGCTTAAAGTGGAACTACTAGATTCCATCTTAGCCTCTATTTGGATTGCAGTTGTCATGGTGCTCCATGTGTGAGGGTGGAGGAGGGCTACTTTTGTTCCCCATGGCCCTTTGTGTGTTGTAAAGTAGCCACTGCTCCAAGCTATGAAGTATTAATAGGCAAATAAGTTTTTGGCTTAGTCCACTGGTGCTTTATTTATCACTTTGCTTATTTTATACTGGCTTTTAAAAATAATATTTTGATAATAAAAATATTTGTGTGAAAGGTTAAGTGCAGTGTAACACTTTAGGTTATTAAATATTGCACTCATTATAGAGGTCTATGCATCTCTCCAAAAAGAGGGACAGAGGGATTCAGTTGGGTGGACACAGACACATACATCCCTATATAAAAGGAATGCGGTTATGTAAACTTTATTTTTTATTTTGGATACAATGGGAAATGGCTAAATCTTATGTCTATATTGTATTGCTTGTAATGGGACGAATAAACCATCATGTGCACAAATCACATTCCAAATTACTAGATAGAAAATTGAATTTGTTTATCTCATACTAGACAGAAAATGAAATGTTTGCATCATTGCGTAAACTATCAGAGAGATGTAATCAAGACAATCTAAAATCACTTAAGATATGAAAGCAGGCCCTGCTTTTTATTGATATTTTAATACATTTCAAGGGTGTTGCAACTGAGCTGCTCTTCCATTGCTAGAAAAGGAAATGTTAAAGTGACCCAAAACTCAGGAGTTAAATCTTAAAAGTGCATTCAAGTACCCTTTTAAAGGGACATTAAACACTCTGGGGTTTTTGCATATGTCTACTGCTAGCAACCAGTAGATATATGCAGAAACATAAAAAAATACAAAAGTTACCAAATAGGTTTAAACTTACCTGTGTCTCTGCCTCGTGCTCCAGTCCGAAGATCTGAAGATTCTCGGGCGGCCGCAAAGGATAATGGGGCGGGTGCAGTAGAGATCTTCGGCCCGGGTAAGAGAAGAGACACAGCGTAAGTCAATGCACGCAGCCCAGCAGCGTGCACCCGCACAGACATCGTGGGACAGGAAAGGAAAGGAAGAGACAGGAGTCAGTGTTGGATCAGAGAGCGGCACCAGCGCTGGAGGAACTTCTGAAAACTACTGGAAAGAAGAAGATGATCGGATCAAGAGGCATCATTTAAAGTAAGTCCTTAAAGCAGCATGGGGGGGGAGGGGGCTGTTTTGCCTTTTAATATCACTTTAACTACTAACAAAAATGTATCACTCGGCTGTAAATCCTCAAATCATCTCTGAATTGGTGCTGACACTGTCCTTCCTTCTGGAGGGGGGTGGGGGGGGGGGCTACTTTTATACCCCATGGTCCCTGTGTATGTTGTAAAGTAGTCGCCGCTCCAAGCTCGCTCCTGTGATGGACTACATGTTTAGTTTACTAATTTGTATTGAGATTGTAGTCCATTACAGAAGCAAGCTTGGAGCGGTGACTACTTTACAACACACAGAGGGACCATGGGGAACAAAAGTAGCCCCCCTCCAGAAGGAAGGACAGTGTTGGCACCGATTCAGAGATGATTTGAGGATCTACAGCCGAGTGATACACAAATAAGATACATTATTGTTAATAGTTAAGGTACTTGAATGCATTTTTAAGATTTAACTCCCTAGTTTAGTGTCCCAGAAAATCTATGTATTTGTTGATTTTGCAATTTATTGCCGTAGAAATTCCCTTTACACGGGATTGTGTCTTTTAATTAGAAGCGCCATGTTGCACATTGCAGTGGACCCATCTATTGCACAGCATATAGTCTCATATAGTCAAATAGCAGTTATTTTGAATATCCTTGCATATAATAATAAATAGACCGTCTCAATGGCGTATGTCTTTATTATTCAAATCAATTAATCAGATGAAAATCAGGAAATAGAAGGGAGAATGTGTTTGGATGATTTGGATGATATGGCTGATGCCGACCCTTTTTGTTTTTTTTGATACATGAAAAATCCTGACACGTCCCCTATCTAGCTCTAGTTTTATCTGATCGGAGCAGCTGAACAGTTACTGTTCTGGGCTCTGGATGGGGTGGGAGGCTGGGTTCATAAGGCCTTTTTTTTTGGCAATATCCCGTGACTTCTAGATTCCAGGCACTGCTTCCAAACATAACAAAGAAGAACACTGAGCTTCAGGACATGTGAAAATCATCTGTGCAGCTATTTTATGGCTGGAAACAAATCTTTCCATGATTAGTTAAAGCTGTCCAAAATACAGAGCTTGGCAACAGATAACAACTCGACAACAGCTACTATTGATGTTTATACCCGCTGTTCATTCAGTGTGCACTGATCCTTGTGGGCGAGGGGAGACTTTGTGGAAATAGAAAACAACTGCTAACTTGGGTTTTAGAACGTCAATCTCCGAGGCTGTCATGCCTATCCTTGAGACTGGATGGAGGAATCTCCCGCTGGGCCAAGCTTCAGTATCTTTCTAGTCCACCCCTCTGGCTGTCAAAATACCTGAACAATGTTTAGCGTAGATTGAGGAATCTGTTGCACTTTTTCCATCTGACCATAGAAAATCAGCATATAGTCTATAGGTGTATGGACAGCTTTAGACAAATCCCTTCCGCCTCACTTCCCCTTCACTGCAGCAGCCAAAGGTCCATGAGTCATTCCGTCCTATACACAGTGTATAGGACGTCAGGATGGCGAGGAACATGCCATTACTGCAGCAGAGAAAGATAGGCAGGAAGGAGCACTGTCACAGCCAGCTCGCTCCGAGGATCAGGTAAAAATAACTTAATATGTTTTTTTCCTCCCTAGACAAAAATGAGCACTTAACCCTTGCAGTATGGGTGCAGCCCCACTGCAAGGGTTAATGATAATGTTCTCTGGAGTTCTGGTTTAAGTAAAGGTTCCTATTTGACAGTTTAAACAAGTCCCAAATCCAGTTACTATGTGATGCACAAGCCTTCTAAAGTAAACAAAAACTTCCTTTACCCCCCCCGACTGAACCAAGTCCCACTTAATTTGTGTCTCAAAAGCTCCCCTTCCCAGACACTGCAGCTCACAGTGGGACGGTTTCAGCAACAGAGGCAGTGCTGTCAGTACAGAAAGCAGTGTGTAGGAATAGGTGCTGATTGATAGGCTACATGCTTGTGAATCAGCAGTGACAATGCTGTTCGCTACATCTTCACATCCCACTGTAGTGCAAGCAGGCACAGGCTATATGAGAGCGGCAACTCTGCTCTAAATTCAGGAGCAGTGCAACATCTTTGCCACCCCATCACAGGGAGATGCATTAGATTGACTGGCAGGATGCACAGGTATTGGACTTTGCAGGGGACCAAGAAAACTGTATGTGCAGGTGACCTTATAATTAAGTGCTGCAGCCCTAATTTTTTTTAAGGAAGGCCATAGAATGAATCCTCTGATCATTCACGGCTGTTTCTTTTCAAACAAAACCCAGAATGGAAGGAGATTAGGAAAATATAACCGTTTGCGCCCTGACTGTCTGACTGTTGATGTGTGTTTTCTATCATTCTTGCCTTATTTTTGCACTGTCTGGTATACCCAAATAACTGCCATTACACAAGCCCTGATGGAGGAGAGGTTGTGAACCTCCAAATGTAATTTGCTAAATCCTCTGACCTGTTGTCAAGATGAACCAGTTGACATCCGCGGTGTTAAACCCCCTTCCCATCCAGGCCATTTTTCAGTATTCAGCGCTGCGGTACTTTGACTGACATTTATTCCGTCATTCAGCGCTGTACTGAAATGAATTTTATACCCTTTTTTGGGGACAGATAGAGCTTTCTTTTGGTGGTATTTATTCACCACTGGGGTTTTTATTTTTTTAGTATATTAAGGAAAAATTACCGAAATGTAAAAAAAAAACAGTTTCCCCTTTATTAAATGATAAAACATTTATTATTACCCAATTTTTTGGTAAAATATAAAAGACGGGGTCACGTCGGGTAAAAAGACACCAAACATGTCAAGCCTTAAAATTGTGTGCGCGCGCGCGAAACCTCAAAAAACGATAATACCCAAAATTGGCCATAGGCGACGCTTTAAAAGCTGTTACCGCTCATCAGTTTAGTGTTATCAGTGATTGATGGCCCTAAAATGATTGCTCTCACTGCGATGTTCGCGGCGATATGTAACATGTGTAGCGCAATTGTAATTTTTGCGCGCTGGGGCACCGGACGCGTATTTACGTTTATAGGCGCGTAAACGTGGGGGTGGGGGAGTTAAACATTTTGGGGGGGTTTTTTCCCCTTTTTTTATATGTGGCTTTTATTTTATTTTATTTTTTTATGTGTTACTTTTCTTTTTTTTTATTTATATTTTTTTTTTTGCACTTATTGTTATTGCTATTATATAGGGGGATAACAACCCCCTATATAATAGCAAAGGCACACTGACAGGTCCTCTTTATGGAGATATTAGGGGTCTCTAGGACCCCTAATATCACCTATGGACCCCAAAAGAAGCTGATAAAGCAGAGATCTGCTTTATCAGCTTCTTCTCTCTGGCTATAGCAGCCAGATGACTGACAGGTGAATGCGGAAGTGATGTAATGGTGCCGCGAACGAGCACATATATGGACCCGCTGATCGCCTATATGTGAAACACCCGGTAACGGGTGTGTGCAACGGTCGGGTCTTTTCTGCCCGTGCGTGCCCGCTAGGGGGCGCGCGCGAGCAGAAAAAAATTGCCGTCTGGAGACGGCAACCCGCCAATGCAGCAGTGCCGTCCGTCCGTTTTTTTACTACGGGCGGACGGCAAGAGGTTAAAGCCTTGTTCACACCAAATGCAGAGCAGATCTGCATGAGTTTCTGCACACGCAGTGCAGTGGGTTGTGCTGCTTTTTTTTTTTTTTTAAATGGGCTTTCAGTGTGTTCCAGGTGTTTGCATGCGTTTTTGATGCGTTTGCATGTGTTCCAGAGCAGGTAAAATAGGGCCTGCTGCAGTTTTGTTACCTACTCTGAACCTGCTCTGGAATTGCACGCTGCCATGTGAACTGGAGCTAAAAATACCATTGGAATACATTGGACGCAGTTTTGCTCCGGTCTGTAACTGCTCTGCTCTGCACCTGCTCCGCGGTTGGTGTGAACAAGGCCTAAGTGCCCATTCACACCGGATCAGTTGCATTGCGATCCATAGCGTTGCACTGAAAATAAAGTAGAACATGCAGTACTTTTTTTTTTCAGTGCAACGTAACACAACAGATCCGACGTGAACTAGCCCCATTGACACCTATTTTATTTTTTGGTGTCCTTCCGTTACTATCCATTAAAAAACCTATTGCAAATGTTTGGAAATCAATAGGGAATTGAAAGGTACAATTGCAATTCAACAGACACTGTGTTGACTTGTGATTTCCTTCCAGTTTTGGTGTGAATGGGCCCTAATAAACTTTGACGTGACATCTGGCCCCTTATTCTTTTATATACCCGACTTTCAGAGAGAATGAGCAGCCTTTATGTCATTATTGACCAAAAGACGTATACTGTGAAAGAACAACTGGATGGTTTTTGATTGTTAAATGTGTTTTATTCCAGTAAAGCCTCTCAACCCGCAGTCATTCCTGATATCCAGGTGACAGAAGCTGAAGACACCACTGATCCTGGTAAGTGAGCAGGTTGTTTGTTGTGTAGTTATGTTGATAAAGGGGATAAATAAGTAGCCTAAATTTCCTATAGTGATCCCTTTACCACCCGCACGGCTTTGGGGTGGTACCGCTGGTATAATAAAGAAGGCTATTATGCTATACAGTTGCATTCTTAGACTACTGGGCCCCTTCCAGTTCATAGGACTTGATCCTGCACTTTATCATCTGACCTCTTTCCTTACAAACATACAAACACTTGCTCCATCTTCCAAATCTGTGCTTTTATAAATTAATGTTTAATACTTTAGCATACGGGGTCCCAGTTAGCCCAAAGGAGACCTTAAACTGTGAACCCATTAAAAACGCCCCCTGCAAATAATGCAATTTAAAATAATAGATTAAAAAAGTGACACAGCTCTAAGCGCTGTGCTACTTTTTAATCGATTTTCAAGGGATCTCTCCCCTTTTTTGCATAGCAGCTTTAGGGTTAATTGCTTGTTGTTAGTTCCAGGAGCGCAGATTTTCATTTTTACAATTTAAAATAATAGTATGTTTACATACAGAGACGTTAGTATAACTGTCCAGTCCACTCATTGTCTGCATTCTCTGTGAAAGAATGCATTTTGGATCTTTCATATTTGAATAGGCTTGGACCACAAGCTTGTATTCCTCTGTACCCCTGGTTTATTGACTCTTTTTAATGCTGGGGACAGAAGAAAAGGCAAGGTATGTACTGCTGGGGGTTAAAGCAAAACTAAACCCTTCAATACTCACCTCCTCTCCACAATGCAATGTCTGTGAGCTCCCTCGCTGGTGCCAATATCTTCTCCCCAACTTCTTCTCGGATTGAGGTCTTCGGCTATCTTGATTTGGTAACTTCTGCACGCACACAGGGAGTTCATTCATTGGTGCACCAAGGTGTGCCAAGAATGTATATTGAGCTGCATATGTAAAAAGCCTTTACCACAGAAGAGACATAGTATGTTGCTTTAAGGCAAACCATTTGCTTTTTACTGCATGAACAAACCACAGGTTCACTTAAAGTGGGTGTCCCAGTAACACAGAAGCACCCCATGTGAATCTGACTCTTCGTTGTAGTTCTATAACTCACTTTCCCTCCTTTTATTCAGCCTTCATGTCAATAACAGCAGGGCCCCATTTCCATAGCTCTTTATATTTCTGTATACAGTATATAGAGAACCCTGTTCTATCTGAATGGTTCAGCCGCAGTCCCACATTCACCGGTAGGAGGTGCTGCAGGTAAATCTTGAAGTCACCACTCCTGGCAGCTGATATACTGTTTAGTACGGGGCATGATTGCTGTTCTGAGATTTCCAGATTGCCTCTTGGTTTTTCAATTTTAATGGAATGTACTGTATGTAAGACAACATTATAAGGCATAACATTAGTACAGAGCATGTGATTTACTATAATCACATGTGCAACTATGAGAGACACGGTAACAATAGGTCACTTGTATGCTGTATCTGGGGATGTAAACATGACTGTACTTTTACCTCGTTCCATATTGGTGATGATCACTTCTTGCTGCTGAAAATATAGATCCCCAAATGTAAGGAGTTGTACATCGGATCTTTGTGCTGAGATGTTGACAAACTGTGTTGCACTATTCTCTATATTCTTAATTCTGTAATAAAAAGCTAATTTTAATGCTTTGCTTGTAATTTAAGAACCCCACCCAACACTAAACGTCAGTGCTGTACAGAATTGCATGAATACAAGCTCTGTGTGTGCTTTACTCCCTTGACCTTTCCTACATTGTTGGCACTTCTTCTGCTTTCCAACCAGATCGAATATCTAAAACCTAAGAACAAAAATGTAAAATATTGCAGCTTACCCGTCCTTTGTACTAGCATTCCCAGCTATCCCCTGTGAACTAAAGAACACCATGTTCGGATGATGAGGAGCGGTAGAAGTGTTTGTAGTCCAAATCAGGAGAGCTGCCTAGGGTGACACCACTACTACGCCATTGGATACAGTGCAGTAAGTGAGCATTGTCACTCTCTAGGACAGGAAGTGTGTTGCGGGCAGGTGGGGAAAAATAGGGGAAAAATAGGCAAAAAATGCCTGAAAAAAATAAAAATAATGCAGCCACCTCATCTTAGGAGTGGTAAGCTGCGTTACATTTTTGTTTTTGAACCTGTGAAGGTCAGGATGACATACCCGAGTCTGCACTTTTTTTTCTTTATTTAACAGATTTTTTAAAGGTCCCTCACAGTACTAGGCAGGAGGGATCTCCCGAAGAGAAACCCTTCTTCTGGGTGGTAGGAGACAGAGAACCCCATAGGAGGCACAGAATCTCCTCCCAGCATCAGGAATAGGCCCCGAAGAAACCTGCACCTTCAGCATCTGTGGGTCAAAATTTAAAATAAAAAAGTGCCAATCGTGCATAGAGTGCTTAAATAAATCTAAAGTGCCAGGGCACCATTCTGACAGGCCTTAGGGGCCGGAGTGCAAAAATATTGCCCCAGACTAGCCATAAGGCCTGTCTTGGAGGCGAAGTGCAGAAAATTGCAATGTGGTGTGTGACCAAGTGCACAGTGAGTCATGTGGGGTCCCATACCCATGTGACTTTCTGCGCACCCCTGGGACACCACCCCCAGGGGGCACAACACCACGGGCTTCTGCCGCCCCCGAACCCTCGAGCCTCGACCAAGCTTCGCATCCGTTCAGTCAGTAGGCAATAGTGCCGAGGAAACTCCCCCTGCTGCTAACAAGGAGTCGCCTCAAGCACCTACCTTTTACTCCTGAAGGTACTAAGCAACTGTCCGTCCCAAGGACATCCCCTCTAGAACTGATAAGAACAGATACTACACTTGATCTTAGCTAAAAGCCCGAGAAGCGATTGCACCTTTTTTTAGGAGTAACTCCAGAACTTGAAGGATACCAAGTTATGCGGTGGCTGGTTTTTGAAAGTAAATCACGATATCTGCCTTGTTTTCCCGATTGTTAGTTCAGAAAGCTGCCCCTCTGATAAACCAATGCCTAATCCTGGCCATACACCAGTAGAATTTTGTTTGAAAAAATATGTTTTCGGAATGTTTGTTTGATTTTCTGATAGCTAAATGGGACCAAATTGACCATTTTCAACTGTAGTCACAAAAAATCAAAGGAGCAGGATGGAAAATGTTTCTCAAACAAAATTCTAACAGTGAATGTGGTTTTCGGTTGGGAAACTTCATTCATTTCTATATTTGAATGTTAAAAATGTTTGTCAAGTCTTTGATGGTATTAGCGAATGTTATGATGAGATTTTTTGCATGAATGTTCATACAAAAGTCTACCTGCATATTGCCGGCTTAAAGGGTTATTAAACCCTCGGCAGTTTTTGCATATATCGACTGCTAGCAAGAAGTAGATACAGTGGTACCTCGGTTCACAAACTTAATTGGTTCCACGATTCTGTCCGCGAACCGAATTGGTTGTGAACCGAATCACATTTTCCCATAGGGTTCAATGTACTGAACCATATAAAAAACAAACAAACAATTTAACCACACGTTTCTTTTTACCACCATTCTTGCTCTGCACATTCTTGTCACCTTCAATAATGCTCTGCACATTCTTTTGTCACCTTCAATAATGCTCTGCACATTCTTGTCACTTTCATTAATGCTCTGCACATTCTTGTCACCTTCATTAATGCTCTGCACATTCTTTTGTCACCTTCAATAACGCTCTGCACATTCTTGTCACCTTCATTAATGCTCTGCACATTCTTGTCACCTTAATTAACGCTCTGCACATTCTTGTCACCTTCATTAACGCTCTGCACATTCTTGTCACCTTCATTAATGCTCTGCACGTTCTTTTTCCCACCACGCTTGCTCTGCACTTTCTTGGGAGCCATGCTGGATTGAATACAGTAATACTGTACAGTACTGTGCTACAAAGCACACAACAAAGCTTCACACTAAGTGTCCACAGCCCTGTCTGCGACCGCAATCTCAAGTACAGGAAACCACAACCATGTGTCAGAGCGGGGAAGATAGTCGCGTTCGTAACCCAAGGCAGAGTTTGCGAACGGAGGCAAAATTTTGGCGAACTTCCTGGTCGCGAAACGAATTTTCGTGAACAGAGGCGTTTGTGAACCGAGGTACCACTGTATATGCAAAACAATTAAAAAAAACTTTTTCAAAGGGTTAAAACTTATCTGAGTCTCCAACGCGCACTCCCATACAAACATCTGATAATTCTCGGGCGGCAGAAAGGATCTTGGGTTAGGCGCATGCGCAGTTCAGATCTTCGGCCGGGAGTCGAAGACAGACACAAGGTAAAAAGTAAATGCAGCAGTGTGCACCTGCACAGACTCCATGGGACAGGAAGTGCCAGTTAAGACAGAGGAGTCAGCGCTGGATCGGAGACCCGCACCAGTGCTGGAGGGACTCCTAAAAATTACAGTAAAGAAGAAGATGATCGGATTAAGAGGCATCATTTAAGGTAAGTCCTTACATTAGCATTGTGGAGGGGGGGGGGGGGGGGACTTTAGCCTTTAATGTCACTTTAAGTTAGCTTGCAGTTCTAGGTAAAAAGTCTCTATTCACTAATTTATAACATACAGTATGTGTCATATTCACTTATTATTTCTCAGCCTTGTAACTGTTGATTTCAGTTCTCATTGGCTCTCATTACTGAAAATAAGTAAGCCAAAACACGATCGTTATTGCTTAGCAAATTGAGCCTACAGTTTCGTAATATGACCCTATTGTGAGTAACGAGACTTCACTGTGGGACAGGTTGGAACTAATTATCTACTCTTATCTTGGCTGATGGTCTCTTGTGAAGTGATGGAATTGTTCGGACTTATAAGCTGATTAACACAGAACACTACCCCCTGATTTCTTTAAACTGGTGATGCTAAGCAGAGCGTGACTTTTACAAGCATTCACTGGTGGAGAATCAGTTACACTCCTTTAAAACATGTTCACGAGAATGTTTGGGAAAGTCACATCTAATTGCTTTATAAATCGACCTCTTAGTGTAACTCAAGCCAGATCTTTTTTTTGTTTCTGAATAGAGTAGGGTACGGTGATAACCTATATCAGGTTTTTTACTTCCGTCTGCGTTCTGATGATGAGATTTTACTTCATTTGCTTTCATCACCAGGAAAGGAAGTGATGAGAAAGCTCTCCAAAGATGGCCATATTCATGTAAGGGTTCTTCCAGCCATGTATGAGAGCATTCAGGAGGTTCCAATTCCACCAGAAGAAAAAAACATATTTTTTTTGTTGTACTTTAAATACAATACCAAAAACAATAACTTATCTCCAGGAGTTCAATCTTGGTAGTGTTGGTCTAATTCCTGTCCCCAAGCAAACACCTCGATGGTTTGAACTCCACTAGATGATAATAAAAGCTTTGGTCACTGATGGTATGTTTTGTATACATTATGTTGTACAAATTGGTGACAATTTTATGTTGCCTGATGGCAAATGTCCTCTATTAATTATAATGCCGACCCAGTCATGGCAAATGACCTCCACATCTCTCAGTGTTCCTGCCACCCACACCATGAGCATGCATGGCCAGCTGTCTTGAACTTGCCTGCTCAGGAGCTACTCAATCTGCTCCTACCTCTCTGCTGGCAAAATTACCTTGAGTGGTTCACTCATGCCCTAAATTATGTGGAGATGTGTCAAGCCATTGCGCAAGCTGGCAAAGGCATTCTTCCAAAGTTTTCATCAGAACAGAACAAGAAAAGAAATCTCCTCAGAGGGAACATAGGCAGCCATCATCTTATCCAACCCGTCATCGTCTAGTCACAAAAAAAGGTTACACAATAGGACGGGGAAGGGGGGTTAATGCTTACCCTATGCATCTCACCTGGTTTGTTTTGTAGTCTGGGTAATGAGGAATACCTAGATGAAATTTGTTTTTACATGTAACAATTACTACTATACTTCTTTTTTTTTTCCACCTAGTAATCCGGCCCAGTAACACACTAGTAGCTCATAGTGTCACTCCACTCAATGGAGGAGCAATGGAGCCACATTTGAACAGCAGAATTGTCACCCTGTGGGGAGGGTAGTGTTAGATGGACTAGAAAAATTATATGGATTTGACTAACACGTTAAAGCGTTTTTTTTTTACATAAATAAAAGCTGACCATTGTAAGCACCCCTGTCGTTGTTAAATGGTTTGTATTAACCCTCCATCTGCCACTTTTGCTGGACAGCTCGACTTGTTAAAGGGAGTTGAACAATTACAGACTTACTGCCCAGATCACCAGATGAAAATAAAGGAAAACAAAACTTAAAAAAAGAAATCTAATGCAGCATAATACATCTAAGCTGCAATATATAACATTTCCACTTTTGGGTTTAGCTGCGCTTTACTTTTGAACATTATGGATTCTGGGTATATTCATAAACTTTGTGCACATTTCTGGCCATCAAGATCTGCATTGTGGCCAGTGGCGTAACAATCACCATAGCGACCCAGGCGGCCGCTATGGGGCCCGAGGCACGGCGGGGCCCGGCCTGGACATCTCCCTGATGCCATGCGGGCCGCCTGGGTCACTATGGCATCTTGCTCGGACAGCCAGGCTGCTGGCTGTCACTGGCGGCTGTGAGGAGGAACGCTCCATTCCTTCTCACAGCCGCTGCTGAGTTGGTGACAAACAGCAGCTTCGCAGGAGGTGGCTGGGCCCGTCATCGGCAGTGATCGAGGGGTCGGGGCCCGGCGATTGAGGGGGTGGGGCCCGGTGATCGAGGGGGCGTGACCCGGCGATCGAGGAGGCGGGGCCCAGTAACGGAGGAGTCGATCGTGGAGGAGAAGGAGGCGGACAGAGGATCAGGGCTGACAGGTAAGAGGGCTTGACCACCCGCCTGAGACCCTGCAGAGCCTACCATAGAGAGTCTATGGTGGGCTCTGCAGGGTCACCCTTAGGCCCCGATCACATTGAGCGGTTCGCAAATCGCGCGTTTGTCGCGCGATTTGCATTTTGCGCAATATCGCACAAATGCTTGCATTGAGCAAGCTTGAATCGCGGCAAAATCCGCTCCAAAAAGGGTCCTGCTGCAGCGACACACTACCCGCGACAGCAGGACCCGTTGCCCAATTGCCAAGCATTGGAGCGCGGTAAATAGCCGCGATATAGCGGGAATTACCGTGCGATAAATCGCTCAATGTGAACGGGGCCAGTGGTGGAACTACCATTTCTTGCATGGGGCCCTGAGGTCACTAGTTACGCCACTGAACGGGGCCTTAGGTGGGCTGTTTGGGTTATCAGGTGGGCGTAACTAGAAATCACAGGGCACCATACAAGATTATGCTGTGGGGCCCTGTGATTTTTAGTTACGCCCCTGATTGTGGCTATGCATTTCTTACATTTGTGCAGTGTGTGTCTCCCGTAGGAGTCACTAGTGCTGTGAACGGTATAGTAGCTGGTCACTTTTGCCCTAACTATTTAGAAGCAAAGTCAGCAGACATAGCAGTGACTTCTGCCAGTAAGTGCTGATGGTACAGTTGTTATCTACTATGTTCCTCTTGGAAAAATATTCTATAAATGTATCATAAAGGATCCTTTTGAACAGAGAAAGTTGGATTTTCACTACTAAGAGTAACTGCTTACAGAAGAGATTAAAAATGTGTCCCATGATGGTTAATTCAGCTCCGTAGCTGCTTTGCTGCTTTATGGCAGCCAAGGGTAACGATAGGAGACCTAGACTTCTAAAATATATTTAAAATTAGACATATGCCTTGTGATCAGTGTACATGTTCCCCCTTTATTCCTGACATGCATCTAGGGAAAGATGAGGACATCATACTGTGAATTCTGTGTGGTGCAGATGGTAACTGATGTACCTGCCAAGTGAGGGTGGGGATGCCAGTGCATATATGCACTCCAATGTGCCTTTTCATTGTTCATAGCCAACTACACACAACATATATTTTAAAATGTGGCTTCAGAGCCATTTAGTATGTATGCTCATTCTTGCTTCAGTGTTTAGGGGCCATGTTTTATATGTTATGTGAGAGTGTTAAGGGCCACTTGGCAGGAGCACTGGAGGGATTATGCGTTCATTGGAAGGTCACACAGATCTGCTAGGCTGTCCCCATTAATTATTTATGGTATCAGCTGGTCGGAGCCTGGGCACCTTAATAATTCAGGCATTTATTCTTCCACAGGCTCTGCATTGTCAGCTGGGTCCTGGGCATATGGCAAAGCTTTACTCTGAATGGGATCACAGATCCATGGACGTAGATGCCTAGGCAGCAGCACACTCTTCTGGTCTCCGCTTCTTATTACAACATCATGAGATAAACCAGAAAGGAGATGTGAATTAAAGTGGATTTCCACCTTTTGCAGCCAAATTTTAGCAACCCCACTATATGTTTGTGTATTCCCTTTCACACATCATACCTAAAAAAAAATTATGATACAATATATATTTTTTTCCTTTCTAGTTGTTTCTTTAGATCAGGATTATACATAGATAAATATATAATGATGTACTGCGCTAATATTCTCCTTACGTGAACCAAAAGATCTCACTTGAACAGTGCAAGCTGCTGTGCTGGTAAAATAAGATAAATCACAAGTTATGTGCACCGCGCTAATGCTCATTAAAGTGAACCGGAATTCTATACCTCCTGTAATGTGGATAAATTCACAAACATTAATAAAAATATTCTCCTATATAAATTTCATATAAAGATTTAAACAATCAATTTTTCAGTGTCCAATTTCAGTCCTCAATTCATCTGTGTTCAGATACTGATTGGGAAGGATTGGACACGTCAAACTGCAGGAAGCAAGCAAGTGGATTTCTAGTTCCAGTTCAATCTGAGGAATCGATTGATTGTTTGCCCGTTGTTGCATGTATTTAAATGTTGTACTGAAATTGGACACTGAAAAATTGATTGTTTAAATCTTTAGATTAAATTTTAATATGAGATTATTTTTATTCATGTTTATGAGTTTATCCACATTACATGGAGGTATAGAATTCTGGTTCACTTTAATAAGCATTAGTGCTGTGCACATAAATTGTGATTTAGGATTATACATAGGGCTCCATAGGCAGCTTGTACTGTTCAGAATAACATGCAAGGGACAAATTGGATTCCCATACCATGTATCAACCAAACTTTGAGATTGTTAATCATCCAGTTTGTAACCGACTATGGAGATAATTCAGCATAGAACAGACGAGGTTAATTACAGTTAACATGACTGCCCAGCCACTTCCTAAAAGTAAGTCTGAAGCCTAAACTTTTTTTTCTGTTTTAGATTAGAAGGGAGGTAGGCTACTGCCGTGGCTGCTGCATACCAAAAACAGAACCTGCATATGTCTGGATGCATGTCCTGTTTGACTGAGAGCTTTCAGAAAGGCTTCTTCGACAAAAGTAAATGGAAAAATCTACTTTTGTTGATCATGGTGGGGTTGATGTGGTTGATTGTTGAAAGGTCCACCCACTGCTCGAACTATGGCCAATTGAGCAGGGACTGGCTGAAATTCAAAGCATGTATGGCCAGCTTAAGACTTGGATGTTCTGTCTAACAAGGTCGTCGTAATGAAAAGAATTACAGATACTTTGGGGAAAAACACATGTATCTCATCTGTATATTGAGCTGCTTCATGCTTGCATGGAATTTGACTTTAACAAAGTGATGGGTGATCTAATTTTCTAAAGTCTACTGAAAATGGTGAAGTCTCGGTATGAAACCAGATGTTCCCGCTGATGAGCAACTCTTCTGTGCTTATTCAGTTTGTTATAATTAAGATCTGTTTGGATGTGCACAGTGCAGTAGCCATCATCAAGCCATCATACGTCTGAGAATGCACTGTACAGTGTAGATACACCAGCTGAGAGATAATTTCAGTAGTAAGTAGTTGTTGATGGTTATTGATCTTGGCCAATCATAAATGCTCCATATTAACTTACTAAAGGAGTCCATATGTGCTTGTTTTTCAGATAGTGAAGAAGTGGAAAACCCCTCCCAGGAGGATACCCCACAGCTCATGCGCACACGCAGTGATGTTGGGGTACGAAGAAGGGGGAACTTGCGAACCCCAGGGGAGCAGAGGAGGATCAAACGGCACCGATTCTCTATTAATGGGCACTTTTACAACCACAAGGTATTGTGCGATCACTTTATGATCCATTACATTTATATTGAACATGTCTACGATCATAGTTATTAATTTTAGTATATTTTACCCTGTAGACGTCTGTATTCACACCAGCGTATGGCTCCGTCACCAATGTGAGGATAAACAGCACCATGTCCACCCCACAGGTCCTGAAACTGCTGCTCAACAAATTCAAGGTGAGAGCTGCCATCTGTCATTCTTACACGGCAAGAGTAATTATTATTCCACCCAAGAGGGTTTTGGACATGATTTCCTGGCAATTTCGTGACCTAGATAGAATGCAGCAACTGGAGTTGTCACAAGAAGCAATCTTAAACATTTACGTAATAGTTGGACTGGATGCAAATAGATTTTTTGAGGACCACAAAATCCACACAAGTGCTGAGAAATATTGACCAAACAATATTATTGCGGTCTCTGGCTCCCTTTTGAGAGCAATTCAATGCGGCTTCAAATGTTCTCATGGTAACCTCTCGCTTCTCAGGGTGATACAATATGCACTTTTTTTTTTAGTGTTGTGGCTGAATGGAAGACATTTTGTAGGCTGAATCCAATGAAGCAAATGCAGGCAATACTGTAGCATAAAGCTGGTACTCCTAGAACGAGATCCTAATAGGTTGGACTTGATGGACTAATGTCTTTATTCAACCTCAAATACTATGTAACTATGTAACTATGTTCTGCTACTGCTGCATCACTCTCAGTTATGGAGAGTCACATAAGGAGCAACAAGAACATTTGTGTAAAGTGTAATGCTTGCCTCTGTACAGATGGTCAGGGAATATAGCTGACTGAGTGTATCCTCATCTATAATCTCTCCCATTCCCTTAAAGGCAAGCAAGCAAGTCTACTGCAGTTGCTAGGCTGCTCCCAGGACTTATACACAATGTTATGTTCACTGACCAGACCGCGCAGGGGGCTGAGCAAGGGAGAACAGAGTATTTGTGGTACTAGGAGTACAATTGTTTACAGAGGATGGCTGATACTGGTGTTACAGTAGGAATGTAGTCAGTGGAAAATGCCAATGGATCAGTACAGGTGCCAGGCAGAAACATCAGGTCAGGTCAAGGTCAGAAACGGGCAAAGAGTTGATACATAGAAGATCAGATGCAAGGAATATGGCAGCTAGTGAGACGCAAGTGAAAACCTATAACAAGCTCGGGTAAGGGATGTTTAAATCAAGCACCTTTGGAAAAATGGACCAATCAGGGCTGGAGAGAGGAACAGAAAGAGGGCATTGTCTGGCAACAGGATGCTGCAAGGCCAAGCTATGGGCATAGTGTCTGCTGTCCAGCTATACACTGGGCGAATATGTTACAAATCCGACCCCTAGTAAATCACTAATCCAGAATAAGTGTATGTGTAACAGGTGTCCCAGCACCTATTTTGCAAGTACTTGGTCCAGATAGTGAAGGAAGGCTAAGATAACAGGCCTTGGATCTGCACCTTCACAAACAAGTCCGCAATGGCAGCTACCATGTTTCTGTCCTGAAAGGTTGTCTTTAAGAATGAAAGCTCTTTATTGAGTAAGGCTTAAAGAATGCTAAATGTTTATTGCATAAACTATAGAAACTAATCGGAATTCATTTTGCTCGGGTCTAACTTCATCAGAGTGAATTCTGATTGGTTGGTATGGGAAACCTGAACTTAGAAAGTATGAAGTTGCCATTGCTGACCTCTCATTCTGAAAAGGTTATTTCCTGGCTGTCGAGCTGAATCTGTGGTTTCTGTACCTTTTTTGTCCTACACTGACCTGGAAAAAAGTATTCAGATCAGGAGCCTGGATTCTCTACATCTCAAAGGTTTCCTTTGAGAAATAGCACTCTTTATTGAATAAGGAAGTTTGATTGGTTTTGTATCCTTCAGAAATCTATTTAAATGTAGTTAGAGTTCAGACTGTTATCATATTCTGAGATGATGCCATATGTAGCTCCTGACTCACTGGCTGGCTATTCCTTCATTATATTGAGTAGCTTTCTTAGAACTATATAATACAAGCCAGAGCTCAGCTGGAAAATGTTATGTCTTCTTCCATGGACTGACACTACACTTTCCTTGCAGCATTTTTGTATCATGGCAAGTAATATCTTCTTATGGCGACTCCTGGCAGTTGTCATGAGCTCACCCGAAGCGTGGAGTCTCACTCACACCATTTCACACCAGCCTCAGTGCTTTCCGGCCCGATTATGGATTGCATTCCGGCTGGCTCACTTTGTTTTGGGACTGGAGGGTGCGTGGCAGTGCATTGAACACAATGGCACTGCAGACACGCCCTCCGGCCGCAGTGCGATCAACCTTCTGCAAGCACTATTTTTTTCTGACCACACTGGACCGGATCACAGGCATTGATGTGCCACGCGGTCCCTCGCGGCCAATGGCACTGCGGCCGGAGGACGTGGCTGCAGTGCCATTGAGTTCAATGCACCGCCGCGCCCCCTCCCGCCCCCTCCCGCCCCAAAACACAGTGAGCCAGCCAGAATGCGATCCAGTGCGTTCCATCCCGAATCGGGCTGGAACGCTTTTAGGCTGGTGTGAACTAGCCCTCAGTGACAGCTGGTCTTCACCAGAGCTGGTCATGGTGGAAATGGGCTGGAAACCCTAGTGGTTCCAGTTTTCTTTGAACTGTCACCAGGTCATGAACCTCAGTAGTGCCTCTGGTAGTGGTAGCTGGAACCAAATGGCTATGAAGTGGAGACTGTACACAAAAACATTAGGCAGAAGAGTAGCCAGGTCAATGCAGAGGCCATGGGTAGGTGGCAGGCAAGATAATATTTAATCCAGGCAATGGTCGTGGACAGGCAGCAGGCAAGAGAGAGTATTCAGGCCAATCTGGGTCAGCAAAAGCACGGTAAGTATAATAGCTCTTTTGCACAAAGCATAGCTGGAAGTAAAACACAGATATAGACACTTCAAAGGTTGGAGCCTGAATACCCTTTTGGTCAGAGCTTGGCTAGCAGTCCTGGGATTTTTGTGAGTAGGAGTTATGGAAGTCCTGTTAGAGATTTCATTGAGCTTCCACTGAACAACCTGGCAGGGATCCTGAGAGTAGGTATTCTGGAAGCCCTGGCAGGGGTTCTGAGAGTACCGTACAATATGAATGGAAAGATGTTGAACAAATACAAATGGAAAAGGACACTAAGCAAAATGCACAATCCTTTTTAGAGGCAGCAAAATAAAATTGCTTAGAAAAGACCTAGACTATCCTCCAGCTTTAAAGTAGTGGTCAGGGAACTGCTGTATTTTCTTTTAAAACGCCAAACTGAGACAGATGGTGGGTAGTTGTGACACTTGCATCACTTCCACTGAGGTAGCCTGAAGTGCCAAGAACTACAATTATTTTCTAGGACGACTTCCTCCCCTCCCTACCTCTGTAGGTATGACCAGGAGCTTTCTCTATGTTGACAATGAAAAGACATCGGAGGAAGCGCTAGCCTGCCTTAGTTGCTTTGTTGTCCCTTGAAGATGTGCTAGAAGAGAAGGTGACAACACAATGCATGAACTTCTGTTGCTATGTTGCAGTGGTGTCGCCCTTCAGCAAGAGTAGGTCTTAGAGAATAAATACAGGACAGGAGCAATAGGAAAATGAGGGATCAGAACTTTGATACATTTGTGGAAAGAACTAGCGAGAGTTCATTATTTAATCAGAAGATTATTGAATTTGCCTGTAGATGCAATTTAACCCCGTTTTAAAATGTTACAACATTTGTTTTATTCTTATATAAGTATATTGTTAGCAAACACTATTTAATTTTATGGCAATTTAATTTCAGATTGAGAATTCAGCTTTAGAGTTTTCCCTGTATATGGTGCACACAAGTGGAGGTAAGAGATTACATTCTTAGATGCCTTTCAAAGGTTCTGTTCTTTTGTTTTATGTTATTTTATTTTTTTTAAGCTGAATTTACTTAAATTTGTTGGGGGGTTTAAAGCACCAGGGGCATAGAATTTCTCTAATGAAATGTGTCCCTTGTCCTGTTGGCTGCTTAGTGTAGAAATTGTTCCTCCAGTGACGCTGGATACTCCCCACAGGACTGATCTTCCAACACTGCGGGAGCTAAGATCAGCAGCTGTGAATGTGAGCCATTGGCACCGACCGCCCTCCAATTCCTCCTCTCTAGCCCTTTCATAGAACTTATATTGCAAAGCATTCAGTGAATGGATGATGGGTGGATGAATGATAGGATTCACCTCCTCCAATCACAAAATGCTTTGCATTCTGGAAAAATACTACAAGTTTTGTGAATGGGCGAGAGAGTAGGAAGGGGAGAGCCAGTGGCGCTGATGGCTTGCAGCCACTGATCTTAACCCCCATAGCGCCAGAAGATCAAGTCTGTGGGGAGTATGTGGCATCACTGGAGGGATCATTTCTAAATTTAGTAGCAGCCACTGTTTCTATATGCTCTTCTACTGATGATTGGGAACTCTGATTGTGTTCTATGGACTTCACACAGTTACATCTATCGCTCCCCAGCAGTAAAAATGTATACAATTTCTTGTTGATGATAATGGTTCAAGAGTCTGTCCATGTACATTAGAAAAAAAAAAAGATAACACATTTCACTAACAACTTTACAATAACAGATTTTCATAAGATACACTGCTGGCAAACCGAAGAGGGATGTGTATGTCAGGTGAATGGAGGTCATTTGGGCCTCGGTTTGGCACATTCAGATCCCTCATTGGTTTGCCAAATTAATGTAGATCCAAATCCTACCTGGGTGATATTTAGTTTACTGAACATTGGGTATCATACACAATTGCCATTTTTATCACTACTGTTTTTTAACCTTTTTTATCCTTTTGTTACATCTCATTGCTGCTGATCGCCTTCAGCCTCTTCCTGGCCATATATCGCTCCAATGTTGTCTGCACATCATTGCTCTGGACTAACTTCCTGATTATAACGGCAGTGTGTCATGATTGTGCAGTATGTGTTGGCACAACACTTGTAGTCTCCAGCAGGGAGCATGTGACCGGGTGACACGCAGGAGAACATTTGGGAGACAGATGTCATCCCATAACAGAAGATGCCTGAACACCAGCTTATATTTGAATGAAATCTGCAGATTTGAATAGACTTAAAGTAACTTTTATAATGGCATTACCATGCTAAAGCTTATATGAGATTTACGTGATTGAGTTTAGTTTGACTTAAAAATCTCAGGAATATGGGTATCAAAAATAAGCCAAATGTAATATGCTTTCCGGTACCTCTTAGATTCTTTGACGTGTGCTTAATGTGAAACTGAAGCCAACACTTTTTTAAAGCTTTGGATGGAGTGGAGAGGGAATAGAACACCTGTCAGGTTTTTATTGCTGTCTGTGTCCCCATTAGGCAGATTCACCCTCTCTATTTGTCCTGGTGACTGTTATCACAAAAAGTGAAACAAAAGCCCACATTTTGGGTTGTCACCAGAACAGGAAAAGGCAGGAAATCTTCTAGGGACACTGGTTCTGGTGACCCTGATGACCACTGGGGATTGTCCTCTTTTTGGAAGGATTTCCACTCGCTTCTTTTTCTGGCTATCCGATAGGAAGTGAAAAGAAATCTCCCCAATAGGGAAGCAATGGCAAAACAAAAAAAAGCTGACGGGGTTTAAATCAACCCTTACTCTATCCACAAAAAAATAAAAATGTTTTACTCTACTTACTTTTACCCCCAACGCACAAAAATAAAATAAAAAACCCTGCTCAGATCCTGCCCCCCTTGTGAATGAGTAAGGGTAGTTGTTATCCATATTCATTCACCAAAGAATTAAGTAAAAAGTAAACAGACCACACCTTAAAAATCCTTCAATTAAACAAAAACAAAAGACCGTTTTTGACAAGTCCTTTATTAACCCCCCCACCCAACAAAAAAAATCCTCCAATGATGCAATCCATGGCCAATCACGTCATCCAGCAATGTAATCTAGCGTCAATCACAATGAACAACGCCTACCAACTCGCCGAAAACAGTCGCAAATTACCCAATGTTGATCCAGAGGAAGGCAAAAAAAAACCCTATAAAGCTTTGCTCCAACAGGGGAAAAAATTCCTTCCTGATCCCATAAGGCAATCGGATATTTCCTGGATCAACAATCTCTGATGCCTAACATACCTATAAGAACTCTATGCAGTAATATTCTGTACATTTAAGAATACATCCAGATGTTATTGCACACAATTGACATCACAATGAAGGGAATTGATCAAAACCGGAGCAAACAAAATCTGGAGCAGCTGTGCATGGCAACCAATCAGCCTTTCTCTTTCATTTTCAAATCTTAACTGAACAAACTGAAGAGAGAGGCTGATTGGCTGTCATAGGCAACTGCTCCAGATTTTGTCTGCTCCAGTTTTGATAAATTCCCCTCAATATGTCGTTTATTAGGGAGGTCAGTGTACTCTTCATCTGGGATCTGGGGCCCAGAGTATCAGCATGCATTCTTTGTACAATATAAGATGATCTATCTTTAATCTCACTTTCCCTACAGAGAAGGCCAAGCTGAAGGACACAGACTATCCTCTTGTTGCTCGAATTCTGCATGGTCCCTGTGAACTAGTGTGTAAGGTTTTCCTCATGGAGAAGGATCAAGTGGAGGAGATCACCTATGATGTAAGATTCTTCTCTGATGTGGCTCTTCTTATAATAACCTGGAGAATTTACTAAATCCAGAGCATTAAAAAAACAATACTGGTCTTGTCTGTGGATGGGTTCACATATTTGTGGTTCATAACTGCATGCGCTTTAATGTTCAGTATGTTACATTTAAACATTGTTGTAGGCTAACTTCATATCACCCAAACTGTCCTCTTCGCTCCTCCCATGTATCACTTTAGAGAAGCCTCTCCCGCTTCTTCCTAAAAACGATATTTCTACTCCCTCTTTCAACTTATTCCTCATAGATATTGGCTTTTGTATCACTTGCCTTCCTTTTAGATTGTACGCTCTCATGAGCAGGACCCTCCTGACCCTCTTGTCTTGAATTGTATTGTAACTGTATTGTCTCACTTTGTATAGTAAAGAGCAGAACAAACTGTTGGTGCTTTATAAATCCTGAATAATAATAATAATATTAACAAAAAGGCATCCCATTCATTTTGAATAGGCTGCCAACACATTACAACAGACCTATGAACGCACCTGCACATCTTTTTTCAGCACACTACAGTGCCAATATGTGAACCCGGCCTATAGCAACCAGTCTGAAGCCTTTCATTTTAGTCTGTATTAAAATACACTGCCTATCTAAAGAAACACTCACATCCTGGATTTAGCTAAGTAAAAAAGGTAAAAGCCTTCCATTGGATAATAGGTAAATGGGTTCAGCAACGTTATTTCCCAAAAAAATGAGGTCAGCTGCTTTGCATTCTGGAAAAATACTACAAGTTCTGTGAATGGGCGAGAGAGGAGGAAGGGGAGGGCCAGTGGCTGAATATACTGAATGATCAGGTTTTTTTCATCAATTAATTTTTTCCTCCCTGATGGCACATTGGATATATTCCAAGATGACAATGTCAGGATTCATCGGGCTCAGATTGTGAAAGAGTGGTTCAGGGAGCATGAGACATAATTTTCACACATGGATTGGCCACCACAGAGTCCAGAGTCCATTGAGAATCTTTGGGATGTGCTGGGGAAGACTTTACACAGTGGCCTGACTCTCCCATCATCACTACAAGATCTTGGTGCAACTCTGGATGGAAATAAATGTTGTGACATTGCATAAGCTTGTGGAAACGGCGAAAGCATGCCGTAATCAAAGCTAAAGGCGGTTCAATTAAATATTAGAGTGTGTGACTCTTCTTTTTGGACAGGCAGTCTATAATAGATGGGATTAGAGTAGTTGCTAGAAACACAACCAACAATTGTATCTGCACTAGTCCTTCTAAAGTAGAGGGGGTGTCATTGTGCCATCTTCTAAAAAACGGATCTAATAGTAGCTTGCTATGTGTTATGAGGGTTCCTGCTGCATGTTCCTACATCCACTGACTGGTTTAGATATGCATACAAATATATATTTCATGTATTATATATACAGACCGTGCTTGCTTTGGAGTGCCACAAAATAATTGTGCTCTATTGTTTTATGTCATAACACAAGTATACCAGCTAGTTTGTTCACTGAAAACAATGTACCACCTTTTGAGGCAGATTACTCTCCTATATAATTTTCAAAGAAGGGAGGAAGAATGATGACAGTGGCTAATGTAATCACCCCTAAGTGGTTAATGTAGACCGCTTTACCTTTTTAAACCTGCACTGGTGGGGTGAGCTCACACCATAAGGTGCAAGTATACTCCACATTCTTGCACATTTGTGGAACAAAAACTGGAAAGGGCACTGCAAGTAACAGCCCACCTTATATTGCATGTCAGTATTTGCTGTTTAAGATTAAATGTTTCCGTCATTTATATGTGTGTTTGTTTTTTCTCAGGTGGCACAGTACATTAAGTTTGAGATGCCTGTACTAAGGAGCTTTATTATGAAGCTCAAGGAGGAAGAAGACCGGGAAATAATAAAGCTGACGAGGAGGTATAGTAGTGCTAATATGAAGCTACTTAGTGTGCATGAATACAAAGTACACCAAAGAAAAAAGACAAAAAACAGCGAGAAAAGGAGCAAGTGAGCTGATTGCTGAGAGAAATGCACCTTTTACAAGAGATAACTACCCAAAGCCAAATCTGCAACTTATAGTAAACCTGTAAGCAGGTCAAAGGAACACATGTAACAGTTCTTTGATATAACGGGAAGCGTGGAGGCTCTTTAAGGCCCAGATGCTGCTGGGTTAGGAAGCCCTTTTAAGAGACCAGGTCACTATACTATTAATATCCGCAACAATCTTCCCATAGTACTATATGTCACAGACAAAATGCACAATCAGAGTGGTTCTGTGCCCTCTGATCGCTATGATGACCAATCACAGCGATCACAAAAGTAAACACTGCAAAGTATTACATTTCAGAGCAACTCACCTTCTTCTCACAACAGAGCAAGATAAGGTAGAGGGATTTTATAAATTAAGTATTATAAGAAAGAAGGGTATGCAGCAGTATATTAAAGGTGGGCGAGTTTAGTATATTACATTTGTGTTTTTTTTTTTAACCCTTTTAATTCTCCTTTCCTCTGACTGTGAGCTGTTCCTCTCATCTTCATCCTGTCTCCATGCTGTAAAATAATGCCTCCCACTGTGTATGACCTGTACATTAATGATGTGCTGAACCTAGTGCACCAGTACCTAACTCCAAGTTTAAATCAACTCAATATCAGCATGTTTCTTCATTTTCAAAAACTTGTGGGAACGACCGTAGTAAAACTGCCAGACGGGAGCCTTGTAAATGCGAGTGGGTGTCTATCTGTCCCCAAAAATGATATAAAATTCATTTCAGTACAGCGTTGCATGACGGAATAAATGTCCCGCAGTGCTGAATACTGAAAAATTGGCCTGTACAGGAAGGGGGTGTAAATACCTGATATGTTTAATACATTTTTGGATTTTTTTGTTTATACAGTAAAAACAAAACGGTGATTAAAAAAATACCAGCGAAAGAAAGCTAATTTGGTACATTATTGCACAACCGAGCAATTCACAGTCAAACTATCACGGCACTGAAAATGGAAAAATGCCTAGTAATGAATGGGCATATACAAGCTCAAGTGGTTAACTTTGGTGTTACATAGGTATTTAAGATGCTAGAGTAGAGTAAACACACTTTTCTTCACGTTTGAAAATGATTATCAGTTCAATCCAGCTTTCTTATAGTAGCCGTTGAAGTAGAGTAATAGTAGCCATTGAAGTAGCCATGCTAGAGTAGAGTAAACACACTTTTCCTCACGTTTGAAAATGATTATCATTTCAATCCAGCTTTCTTATAGTAGCCATTGAAGTACAACGGCCACTATGGTTCATAGCATGTGCATGTCTGTGACACTCCTCCAGCTACAAAGTATGTATACCAATTTATATACATGTGCAGCAATGTTAAAGGTAACCTCTTGGGAACTGAATAATGTTTCTCAGCTGATGCTCACATCTAGCACTGAAGACTACCAGCTCCAGAGGTGGCACTAGTTCCAGGACAGAGTGATGTACTTGCCCAAACTAGAACTGCTTCTAGGAAATAGGAGTCTCCAGTACCGCAATGGATCCTCAGCTGTAACTCACAGATGTCCTGCCTACTCCAATATTAAATAACAGAATTGTTTTTCTATTATAGGTACACATCACTCCGACTGTTTATTGAGCAGCGCTTGCATGGCATGGCTAACCACCCTGCCACCATGTAGACCCCCAGACCCTGCGAATGAGCCCAGAAACGCGTGCAGCATCACCTTTCCCAGCCTGGTTCTAGGAATCAGCCATGAAGCCTTCATTCAAAAAGAAAGCACATTCCGCTTAACTCTCTCCATTATTGGAGGGACTGCACTGTATTGTAATGCTTCCAATTACTCATTGAATCAAGTAGCACTGCAATTATTTCCAAGCTATGGAAAAAGAAATGAACTCAAAGCCTTCATTTTGTTATAATGTGACCTTGGTGAAGTTGGTATTACATGGTGTTCTCATGAATTTGAACCACTATGGTCCACAGTATCAAAGACACTTAAAGTGTTTGTTCTCTGCTTACTTGAAATGAAAAAATGGTTACGGGATGTTGGAGTTTAATCAGGTTATCAGTGATGTGAATTGGGCCACATCTTGCTGTGCTGAGCGAGCAAGTGACCAAATTACTGAAAGGTTTGTAAAAACCATTTGAATGTATATATAGTCCTGCTGTCATGTTTATGAGCAGAAAGAAGCAATGTCTCATTATAATGATACAGGAACGTGAAACCTCAGCCCATTCTGGATTGCTGTTTGCACAATTGTGCACTGTGGGTGGAATGTATTTTAAAGGTTCACTCATCTCCATCCACAGATTATAGATTGTAAAACCTAGTGATGAGTGTTCTAGTTGTGATAGACTGAGATTTACTTCATAGCACCACAGTTTGCAAACTTGCAGATTAAGAGCCAAGTGGGATTTTTAACGTGAACTCCTCTTTAGGTCTAGGTATGAGAAATATGCAGGAAAGGATAATGCTTCCAAATCAAAAGCACAATGTTTAACTAAAACAATGTAACTTCTTTTGTCATAATGACAAAACTCACTAAAGTAGCATTATGAATGATGCGAGAAAGGACTCCGGGGTGCATTTATAAAAAAACTAGCCCAAAGGATGTCAGCTTTGCTTTTGGAGCCTACTGAATATGATAGAACCCGAGGGTTGCTATTGCTCTTTTGCACTGGTTTATATAAATAAGTCCAAATGAGCAAATGTGTAAAGCAGTGATGATCCTCACAGAAGACCTGAAGGAACTGGGGACAAGACTGATACCTTCAGAACCAGGATAGTCCTAGACTGGCAAATTTGCTTATTGAACAATAGGCAGTAAGAGGTCTACCCATTGTTGGGATGGCCACCACAGCATGGGACCCATCATGATTTTTTAATCCTCTCTTGGTCTAACCTGAGCACCAGTCTACATGCAGTAGAAAGACCTTTCCCTTTAGGGTAATCCTGAATGGGTCATACATTTTTTTTTCCAGGTTATTGAAGAAACTTTTCAATGCTTATGTCTATTTATTATATCAATGAACTGCCAGAATATTGTAAGGAATGCTTGGAATAGGATAGCTAGAAAGTTCTGGTCAACATCTGTTCTGTCAAAGCAGTCCCTTTTTAGAACAGGCTGCCAACGCACAGGCAACAAACCAAAAATGAGACCTGCACCTTTGTTTAATGCAGCACACTGCAACACCTATTGTGGTATACTGCAGCATAGGTCCATTGGCACCTATTGTACTTGTGCACTAGGGCGCCATTCTAAATTAATGTCATCGCATGGGTTTTGTCATGTGTGAAGCCAGCTATAAGGTGGAAACATAGACATGAAAATAGATTGTTTGTCCAACAGAAAGCAGGAAACATACCTATTCTCGGGATCCTTAATGCTGACATTTGTCAAAGACAGAACTTATACAATCTTTTCACAATCTTTTTTTTTTAGACAAATGACTTGAAATTGTCTCAGAGCCCCATCTAATGTCTGTGAGTAGCGAATTATTTTCTTAGGCCCAGTATTACAGATTTGTTTAAAGCAATAAACTGAAATCTGAGTATGCACTAGGTACCACCTGTGATTACCATGTCCCCATTGATGACCAAAGTCCTTGGAGAGGCACTGCTTAGTTGAGGGTGCTACATTTAGTGAGTGGATTAGACCAGTTTAATGGCCCTGTGTATTATTACATTGACTAATGTGGGTATTTTGTAACATTGCTGAACTATGCTGAGCTTGTAAAATTTATGTCATGTCTGTGTGTTTTTTCTATCTAACAAATGTGAATTTTTTTGCAGTCGATGATGCTGATTTGCCCAGCTCCCCTTCCCTTCCGAATAAAGCACTTTGCTGTAACATTTACTTTGTGTTTTGTCTGTGAGTTTCCTTTTACATTCAGGAAATTAATTGTTATAGCATATGATCATATCCTTTTATGTGGCCATCATAATAAGAATGTGTGTATCTGGAATTTAGTAGATGGAGTGGAAAAAGCTTTAGACAACTGCTGTTAAAGAATCAATAAGGAAATGGAAATACAATTAAGTATAATATGTACTCAACATGTTGATGGTGAGGTTGTGCAGGGTCAGTAACTCCACATTATAAGACTATCCTGGATTAGAATCAAGTGGATGTAGCTCATATCACAATCTGTCCAAGATTCAGGTACTCTGGGCTATTAAAGAAAAGCACTTATGAAAAATACATTATATGGTCAAGTGTTTGTGAGCACCTGACTATCACAACTATATGAGCATGTTGGCCATCCAATTCAAAATCCATGAGCATTAATATGGAATTGCATTGATGGCTATAACAGGCTCTACTCTTCTAGGAAGGCATTCATGTCTGTGAGCCAACGCAACCAAAACAGCATTTGTGAGGTCAGGTATTAATGTTGGTCAAGAAGACCTTGCTCACAATTAGCTGCGGGCGGTCTCACCAGGGCTGCGGGCGGTCTCACCAGGGCTTCGGGTGGTCTCAGCAGGGCTGCGGGCGGTCTCAGCAGGGCTGTGGGGGGTCTCAGCGGGGCTGTGGGCGGTCTCACCGGGGCTGCGGGCGGTCTCAGCAGAGCTGCGGGTGGTCTGACCAGGGATACGGGTGGTCTCACCAGGGCTGCGGCAGTCTCACCAGGGCTGCGGCAGTCTCACCAGGCATACAGGCGGTCTAAGCAGGGATACGGGCGCTCTCACCAGGGCTCTGCAGGGTCTCGGGTGACAGATTGCAGGGTCAGCTCAGCCACCCTCTGTGTCCAGGTCGGTCCTCTCTCTCCCCCTCTGCCTGACACAGCTCCTAGACTCCTCCCCCTCGTTCCCAGGGCCCTCAGGTGCAAAGCTGGCCCTGACAATGCCTGCAGAGCGGCGGGAGGAGAGAGGGAGGGAGCCGGTGTTCTGTCAACACTTAGAAAGAACACCGGCGAGCAGGTAAATCCCCCTGACACCTGTCCTGATGCTGTAGGCCGCTGCACATTCTTCCCTCCCCCCCCAGCACTGGCGCCGATGACCCCTCCCACTCACTGCTCTGCTCTGACAAGCTTAGGTCCGTCAGAGCAGGTTGATGCATAGCGTTGGGCAGGCTAGTGCATAGCGGGCCAGGCCGTTCACAATCAGAATGATTGTGTGCGGGACCTGCTCCTTCCTCTCTGGGCCCCCCCAACAGGCGGAACGCCAGGGCCCAGTCGCGATCGCGACCGTTGCAACCCTGGTAGTTCCGCCAGTGGATGGCGCCACTTCAAATCCAAGTAGTAAAGTATATCACCAGCACACCAAAGTAAAATCTTCAATGAGTGGTAATTGTATTGATTTACACACATCTCCTCATAAAGCAACATTTTGGGGCCACTCGGGGGCCCTTCACCAGGCATGACCTGATAAAGGGACCCTGAGTGGCCCCGAAACAATGCTTTATGACAAGATGTGTGTACATCAACAAAATGACCACTTGTTGAAGACTTTACTTTGGTGTGCTGGTGATATACTTTATTACCTCACTACAGGACACAGTCTTGGCATAGGGGCCTGCAGGAGGGTGGTGGATGTGCATTTGAAGCTAAAGTCCAGTCCATGAACTAACCTACAATTTAAACTAAAACAAACTAACCTACAATTTAAACTTTAAACAGGTGAAACTCGAATAATTAGAATATCGTGCAAAGTTCATTTATTTCACTAATGCAACTTAAAAGGTGAAACTAATATATGAGATAGACTCATTACATGCAAAGCAAGATAGTTCAAGCCGCGATTTGTCATAATTGTGATGATTATGGCTTACAGCTCATGAAAACCCCAAGAACCCCAAATCCACAACCTCAGAAAATGGGAATATTACATGCAATCAATAAAACAAGGATTGTACATAGAACAATATCGGACCTCTGAAAAGTACAAGCATGCCTATGTACTCAGTACTTGGTTTGGGCCCCTTTTGCAGCACTTACTGCAATTGCTTTTGCACGATATTCTAATTATTCGAGTTTCACCTGTAGTTATGGATTCATGCGCTTTACACATTTACATCAGTACCGGCCCTCAAGGAGCTTACAATCTAAGGTTCCAATCACACATGTGAGGACCAATTTAGACAGGAGCCTACGAGCATATTTTTGGAGTGTGGGAAGAAACCCACGCAAGCACAGGGAGAATATGCAAACTCCTTGCAGATAGTAATCTGGCCAAGATTCGAGTCTCGGACCCCCAGTGCTGCAAGGCAGAAGTGCTAACCACTGCAGCACTGTGCTGCTGTCTTTACTGATAGTGTTATATAAGTCTTACCTTCCTTCATCTATTCTATTTTAATGTGAGTGTTTGGCAGGACACTGTTTGGGTTTGGGGTTTGTGCAGCTCACATTTCTTTGTGCCAAAGTAATGGATTTGACACCTAGATGGTCTAATTTTTCCAACGCTCCCTTGTATGATGAGCAGTTCTGGTAATTACATCCTCTCAGGGCTTCTCGCTGTCTACTAAAGTTGCTTTTCACATTAGCCTGCATAAATATCATTATACCTTTCTTTATTACTGAACACAATGTTTTTATGAAACTGTCCAGCTACATTCAGGGAAGCTGCAAATAAGAAAAAAAGCGTAGATATAGATAAGCTAAAAGAGAATAAAACGGCACAAGGGACAAATAGGGTCCCTAGCTGACCCTAAAAGGTTCTCTTTTAAAGTGACACTAAACTCTAGGAGTTAACTCTTAAAGGAGAATTATGAGGTGAGTGATTTTCACTCAACCTCATAGTTCGAGCCGACGTGTGACAATGAAACTGTCACAGGTCGGCTCAGTAGATCGGGATGTGAGCGAACACATACCGTCGCTCGCTCACTTCTTGATCCTGTCCCTGCAGAGAGCCGTGACTGTCACTCATGGCTCCCTGCAGGGATTCCCCCCCCCCTCCCAGCTCCGATCCGATGCGGCTGGGCGGATCTCGACAGCAATGTCTGGATCCTACGATCCCGCGGTATACTGAGCTTTGGGTCACGGGAGGATGCTAGTTTATGTCCTCCCGTTACCCTGAGGAGAACTATGGGGAAAACACTGACCCCCATAGTTCTCCTTTAAAAATACTCCAGTGATGCACTGCAATCTCATGTTTAGATTACTAATTTGTATTGAGACTGTAGTCCATCACAGGAGTGAGCTTGGATCGGTGGCTACTTTACAACACACACAGGGACCATGGGGAATAAAAGTAGCCCCCCTCCAGAAGGAAGGACAGTGTCAGCACCAATTCAGAGATGATTTGAGAATCTACAGCCGAGCTATACACAAATACGTTTTTCACTCCTTAGTTCCGTGTCACTTTAAAGGACCTTAAATGAAAGAAACTAAGCTGCTTTCCATCCAAACAGGGAATGTATGGTGGTTTTGTTCATCTCCTTTCTTTATTATAGACAATTTGTTAAAATATATTTTTTTCATGCATGCTCTTTTTATGTTTGTTCCTTGCTTTCTTTGTCTGCTCCGCTGGGAAAAAATACTGTTTGCAGCAGTAGCTCAAGCTATATTTTACACACACAACTAGATTGAGACAAAGCAGTGACTCCTCCCCCATGGTGCCCTTCCTTGTTCTCTCTTTAGAATACCCACAAATCTCTGTCAATCCAGTGACAAAGGTGTACTCTATTTTAAAATTATTTGTAAAACAAACATCTCAAAGATTTTATATGTGTGCTGAAACACAGTTGAAATGTTTATAACAAATAATTTTAAAAAATAACGTTTACAAAAAAACAAAACCCACTATAGTTTCCCGTTATTTCTTTAAATTCAAAAGCTTTTTAAGCTATTTCAAATGCTGATGAAATCACTTACAATGGATGGTGCTCCTTGAAATGTAAAAGTCTTAGTTTCTTGCAGAATCAACTGATCCCCTGAGCACTGGCCCTGATATCCTGTTTTAGA